GTGTGAATAGAGAAAGTAAACCACAAAACAGATTTTTTTAAATCCAGAAATGGACCCAGTCACATATGAGAATTTAACATATAGTAAAGACTGAACCTCAGATCAACCAGAGAAGGTGAGGTGTCATTTATTATAATAACTGCATAGCTATATGGTAAAAGAAAAAAAAATTTTGATTCATTTCTCAAATTGCATAACAAAATACATTCCAAGTTGGTCAAATATTTAAAATAATAAAATTATGTGAGTACTAGGAGAAAACATGGATGAAAACTTCTGTACTTTGAAAGTGGGCTCATTTTTTCTAACCATGATTCGGAATCCAGATGTATTAAGAGAAAACTAAATCAATTGATTTTACTAGTAAAAATGAATAAACTTTTATTTGGAAAAAGATACCTAAAGGAAGTAAAAGAATAATGACATACTGGGAAAATATTTGCAACTTAATCTCAGAGAGTTAATATATTTAATTAATATTAAATACGGAATAAAATGGCCAATAACTTTTTATCAGAATTGGCTAGATTATAAACAGTTTGAAAAAAAAAAAAGTTGCATCTTTCCTTATGAAAGAAGCTCAATTTCCTTTATAACAAGAAAAATGCAAATAAAAATACACTGGGAGTTTGCTCATGATTTGGCTCTCTGTTTGTCTGTTATTGGTGTATAGGAATGCTTGTGATTTCTGAACCTTGATTTTGTGTCCTGAGACTTTGCCGAAGTTGCTTATCATCTCAAGGAGATTTGGGGCTGAGACAATGAGGACTTCTAAATATGCAATCATTTCATCTACGAAAATAGAGACAGTTTGACTTCCTCTTTTCCTAATTGAATATCTTTTATTTCTTTTTCTTGCCTGATTGCTCTGGTTAGAACTTTCAGTACTATACTGAATAGGAGTAGTAAGAGAAGGCATCCTCGTCTAGTGCCAGTTTTCAAAGGGAATACTTCCAGTTTTTGCCAGTTCAGTATGATACTGGCTGTGGGTTTGTTGTAAATAGCTTTTATTATTTTGAGATACGTATCATTGATACTTATTTTATTCAGGGTTTTTAGCATAAAAACCACTTTAAACTTCATGTGGAACCAACAGAGAGCTAGCATCACCGAGACAATCCTAGGTAAAAAGAACAAAACTGGAGGCATTATGCTACCTGACTTCCAATTATACTATAAGGCTACAGAAATCAAAACAGCATGATACTGATACCAAAATAGATATATAGACTGGTGGAACAGAACAGAGGCCTTGGAAGCAACACCACACATCCACAACCATCTGATCTTTGACAAACCTGAAAAAAACAAGGAATGGGGCAAGGATTCCCTGTTAAATAAATGATGTTGGGAAAACTGGCTAGCCATGTGCAGAAAGCTGAAACTGGACCACTTCCTTACACCTTACACTAAAATTAACTCAAGATGCATTAAAGATTTAGACATAACACCTAATAGCATAAAAACCCTAGAAGAAAACCTAGGCAAAACCATTCAGGACATAGGCATAGGCAAGGACTTCATGACTAAAACACCCAAAGCAATGGCAAGAAAAGCCAAAACAAATGGGATCTAATTAAACTTGAGCTTCTGCACAGCAAAAGAAGCAATCATTAGAGTGAACTGGCAACCAACAGATTGGGAAAAAATCTTTGCAGTCTACCCATCTGACAAAGGGCTAATATCCAGAATCTGCAAAGAACTAAAGCAGATTTACAAGAAAAAAAACAAACAAACTCATTCAAAAGTGGGCAAAGAACACGAACAGATACTTTTCAAAAGGAGACATTTGTGATGCTAACCAGCATATGAAAAAAAAGCTCAACACTGGTCATTAGAAAAATGCAAATCAAAACCACATTTCAGACCATTTAGAATGGTAATCATTAAAAAATCTGGAGACAACAGATGCTGGTGAGGATCTAGAGAAATAGGAAAACTTTTACGCTGTTGGTGGTAGTGTAAATTAGTTCAACCATTGTGGAAGACAGTGTAGCAATTCCTCAAAGATCTGGAAATAGAAATTCCATTTGACCCAGCAATCCCATTACTGGGCATCTACCCAGAGGAGTATAAATTGTTCTATTATAAAGGCACATGCACACATATGTTCATTACAGCACTGTTTACAATAGCAAAGACCTTGAACCAACCCAAATGCCCACCAGTGATAGACTGGACAAAGAAAATGTGGCACATATACACCATAGAATGGTATGCAGCCATAAAAATCGATGAGTTCATGTCCTTTGTAGGGACGTGGATGAATCTGGAAACCATCATTCTCGGCAAACTGACACCAGAACAGAAAATCAACCACTGCATGTTCTCACTCATAGGTGGGTATTGAACAATGAGAACACATGGGCATGGGAAGAGGAACATCACAACTGGGGTCTGTTGGGGGGTGGGGACTTAGGGGAGGGACAGTGGGGGGCAGGGAGGTTGGGGAGGGATAATACTGGGAGAAATGCCTGATGTAGGTGATGGGGGGATGAAGACAGCAAACCACCATGGCATGTATGTACCTATGCAACAATCCTGCAAGATCTCCACAGGTACCCCAGAACTTAAAGTCTGATAAAAAATAAAGCTTCTGGAAGGTTGTCAGAAAAAAAAAAATACACTGGAGTAGCATTTCTCATGTACCTGATTGACATAAATTAAAGTTTAACAGCATACTCTGTTGCTAAGATTTCAGGGAAGCAAACATTCTCATCTACTGCTGGTGGGACACTAAAATGATGCAACGCTTTTAGAGTCAAATTTGCCAATATACATAAAAAATATGCATGAATTTACCCGTGGACAAAGCTTCCCACTTCTCAAAATTCTTCCCCAAATTATTCAGGGAAAAATTGAAAAACACATACATACATATGCACATGGCTGATCTACACTTTTAGGCTATTTGTTAGAGTATGATTGTTCTTCTAAGAATGTTATCTGTATATTATCTGTATATTATGGGATAAAGCAAATGAATAATCATAACAATATCACTAAGAACCAAGATTTTTCCTCATGAGAGAAAGGAAGTAGAGATTTAAAAGTGTCAAGGTTAAGCAAAAACTCTGTAGTCCTGAATTTGAATGGGAATTAGCTGTATAAATTCATCATAAATTTTATATTTAAAAAAAATTCTACACTATATGCACTGAAAACCCCTAGATCCAGTGACACACAGTGAGTATAAAATTGATTTGGTATTTCAATGAAATACATATAAAAAGCAGAAAGTTTCTGGCAGATGAGATTACTAATGTGTGCTCTGAAATGGAAAAATGCAAATTTGAGTAAATTTAGAAAATTCTGAATTTCCCTCTTGGAAACTGTATTTTATGTTATAATGTTAAATGCTCTGGAAAAGTCTCTCTGTGAAGGAACCTAAAACTTTTTAGCACATTGGCTACTGGGAAACCTTTATGTATTTTGCAGGAAAAGGTGTTGAGGTTGTAGAACTCATTGTTTCTTTACTACACAAGTGTTCCATAGAAAACAATTTGCAAAATATTGCTGTGAAAATGAAATGCAATTCGTGAATAATTATTCTTAATAGAGGTGCAAGAGGCCTAGAGAGAGCTGCTAGAGTCATGTGCTTAATGAATGCATAATTTAATCCAACAAGTGTTATTTAATATCACCTAGATGCTAAATGCTGTGTTCAATGTGGGTATACAAGGGTAAAAACAACAAAGATGTCTTGGACACCTGGTAGAGCATTAAAATATGATTCTATTGACAATGCTATAAGCATGGTTTGAAATGTTTTATGGGAATGTTTAATTGCAAATATGGGCCTCAGTGTGGCAAACAGTTGGGAATTAAGTATGACGGTGGAAGCAAAGAGAAGGATCTCCCTGGCAAAGTAAGCAGCATGAGCAAAGATAGTTTAACAGCAACAATAGTACCAACTATCTGACAGAATAAAGGAAAACAAATGTGAGAGGGTAGGCAGGGCCCAGGAAATGAGAAAACTATGGGCTTTCGAATCTGACAAGCCTAGGCCATCATCATTACTTTACCTGTAAATGATCTTTGGAAGGTGATTCAATCTCTGTAAGTCTCAGCTTTTCCATCAGTATCATAAGGATTAAAAATAAGTACCTCTCAAAGTGATGATGACATAAAAATCCCGCATCCGCAGCTTTCAGTGAATGCTGACAATATCAGTTCTTGTCGTTATTAGGCAGATGGGAGCAAAATGATAAATACCACACTGTTACCAGTAAAAGGGATCCAGATTTAATCTGTAGGAAGTGGAAAGCCTTTGAGGGATTCTTAGTATGGGAATGGGGCGATTAGCGTATAGTTTGCAGAGGTGAACATGGAGGAATGAATAGATGAAAGAAGACATTGAGAACTGCACCTGATGGAAAACGGTGGGAGGCATAAATAGGCCACTGGTGGAGTGTTTGAAACTGTTTAGTACTTCACAGGTAGAACTGATAGAATTTATTAGACTTACATATGGAGGAGCAGGGATTGTGAAAGATGAGAGAAATAAAACTGACATCAGTGTTTGTAGCCTGAGCATCTGCATCTTCACAATTGAGACAGGTGACACAGACGGCACAATAGGTGTATAGAAGGTAATGAATTCAGGTGTGGAGTTTACTTTGTTTTCTATCATTATCTATTTGGCTTTTCTAGAGTAAGTGAGCTTTTCAGATTTGAATGTGGCAACCCAGCTTCTCATCTCAAAGATCCTTTTATTCTAAGGGACCGTTATATTTTGTATAGCAAGTAAGGTATCACAAAGTTAAATGCTACAAACTATTAGAGAAACCTAACATGGTAGCTAGAGATGGATGCCAACTGCCTATCACATGGTAGGCAAATGTGGCTTGAATTACTGTACTTATTAAAACAGTGTTTTCTTTAAGCATAACTGAAAATTTACTTTTAGACATTCTACTCAGTGCCAATTTGTGTGTGTGTGTGTGTGTGTGTGTGTGTGTGTGTGTGTGTGTGTGTGTGTTTCTTGTTTTAATGTGCAGGACAGGAGAGAATTGGAAAAGATTCTAACTATGAGCAGGAGGGTAAAGTCCAGTTCGTGATTGATGCAGTCTATGCTATGGCTCATGCCCTTCATCACATGAACAAGGATCTCTGTGCTGACTACCGGGGTGTCTGCCCAGAGATGGAGCAAGCTGGAGGCAAGAAGTTGCTGAAGTATATCCGCAATGTTAACTTCAACGGTGAGTCTCCAAAAATCCAACCTTTTTGGAATCCTAAGTGTTTGGCATTCTGTTTCATAAGTGTTAAATTTCTATAATTGGTTACTTTAAAATATGTGTCAAAACTTGCTTGATTATAGAACTTTAAATGATTGATTCAATGCATGAATGAGCAAATGAATGAAATAATTAAGATATATTTGGAGATTATGGTTTGATCTCATTGTCTTTGATAGATATTATTATTATTTTTACACAAACCCAAATTCTTCTTCGGTGAAATTAAGTAGGTATGGAGTGGAAGGTGAAGGAAAGGAGAAATTTCTGTAAGTGCCTCTGAATATGAAAAGACTCAAGCCATTTTTCTTCTGCTCTCATATCACAATTCACACAGAAGACTTCTGTGACCAAATGTCAGGGGAGGGGTGTCCCACACACACCTAGGTAGCAGTAAATTATGCAGTTGGCACAAGTTGAGTGTCCTCTAATTCAGTTCCTACATGATCTACCTGGCATACTGTCAAACCCCACAAGCTGGAGGCTTAGTTCCCAAGACTCCTCCCCTTGCCACTTCCAGTGACAGTGGCAAACCCTAGATTGCTTTGTCTGTGCTTCTGATAGGCCAGCTATAAACTGGATTTTCACGATCCCCACCTCAGGTTTGATTATTCTGCTAGAGCAACTCACAGAACTCAGTAAAACACTTACTTAAATTTATTACAAAGGATATTTTAAAGGATACAAATAAACCTCCAGATGAAGAGATTTATAGAGTATGGTCTGGAAGGGTCCTGAGAGCAGGAGCTTCTGCCCCCATGGAGTTGGGGTATACTGGCCTCCCCTGCATACAGATGACTTCTTGCTCACCTTCCTGTCAGCCTCCATGTGTTCAGTTCTCTGAACCTTTTCTTCTTGGGCCTTATATGAAGATTTCATTGAATAGGCATGATTAACAACCATGAAGAAATGTGATTTGACACAAAGGGTATAATCTAATACCAACAGGCTGAGTGGGGATATCCAGTGAGGCCTGTCTGTCCAGATCCTTCTTGTTCTACCTGTTCAGCATTTCTTCCTCCAGGATATGGGGCAGGACTCTTCTGAAATGAGGTCTTATGACCTATTAACAAAAATGTGGAGGAGGACTAGAGTCCTGCCTTGGGCTGGTAAAAGGAGGGCAAGGGAAGTTCAGAAAGAGAAAATGTTTCTGAGGCATAAAACACCTCAACATTATGACCCAAGAACCATAAATGATACACATCCATACATACACACACACATATTTATAAACTAGCATTACGGTACTCAAGTTACTTGAAGTAATGTTTGTAACTTGACATGTCACCCATATTTCAAGTTCAAAACTTATTTCTCAAAGTACAAAACTCCTTTATAAATTGATAGGTTACCTAAAGGAGGTGGGTAGAGATAGATGAAAAAATGGGCCAATGAGATAAAAGACATAGGAGAAAGCACACTCTGATAATATCTGTTTCAGTAGTCTTGACTCTTACAGCATCTTTTGTGTGTGTGTGAGAGAGAGGTGGAGTCTCACTCCATCACCAGGCTGGAGTGCAGTTACGACATCTTGGTTTACTGTAACCTCTGCCTTCCAGGTTCAAGTGATTCTCCTGTCTCAGCCTCCCGAGTAGCTGGGACTACAGGCACACATCACCATGCCTGCCCAGCTAATTTTCATATTTTTAGTAAAGATGGGGTTTCACTATGTTGTCCAGAATGGTTTTGATCTCCTAACCTCATGATTCACCTGCCTTGGCCTCTCAAAGTGCTGGGATTACAAGCATAACCTACCACTCCTGGCTGACTCTTAACAACATCTTAACGTTTCACCATGCCAAGAACTAAATAAGTAAACTTGAATATATGAGCAATGCAACATTCAACACAGACAGTAACAAATAATCTTAATTATATTATAAATTACATAACTGAAGTGAAGGAGGGTGAGGCAGAAATAAGGCAAGTTGGAAAATAGTATTTGACTATATAAGGCTAAAAACGAAAATAACTGGACACATATATTGGACAATATCTAGTAAATTTTTTTTCACATTTCTGAAGCCGATTTATGTATATAATAGGACCGAAAAAATAATTTTATATTTTGGATAGTGAAAGCCAGGTTTTTTATTATCTAAGATAGAAATCCCTAATAAAGAATGACGGAAATATAGAATGAACCCTGTTGTGTTGGATTAGAATATGTATGGTCTTTAATATACATGCAATGGGAATATAGAAAATAGAAGCAGATTTTTTATGTGTGTTATATATGCCAATTCTGCATGGCTCTGTCCTCTGAGAGGGCCTGAGAGCAATGGTACACTGGAAAAAATGAGAACATCTAGCACACAGATGTTGTTTATAAATACTATTGTTAAATTAAAAAAGATAAAAGAGCCCTTAAAAACTGGTTGGAACCAGGGGCAGGGAAAGCCCAAGATAAGCTTGAGATACGCTATGCCAGAATATAAGAAAGTTCTTAGAAACTAAAGGGGTCATGTTGAAAGGGCACAGAAACGAAACTGGAAGATATTCCATTGGCCAACTCTGGTACCCTTGTGGATTATAACTCAGAATAAAATAAATATCAGTGAGTCCATACTGATAAAAATTTATAAACCAACAGTTGACCTAATTAAACAAATGCAAGAGAATGGGTAGGATGATAGAACCAAGATAAGATGGAAATACAAAGTCACTCTTTTGTAAAGACATAAGTAGAAATTATTTTCAGGGAAAAATCATGGGATGCTAAAAGTATTGGGTTACAGTATGATGAGAAACAAGATATGTGCATAGTCTCAATATACCTTCCACCAAGATACATATTAATAACCAAAAGAAAATAGTAGCTGTGTAGTGGAGGAAACTGGGAGATAGCATGTGAAACAGGTGATCAAGGTGGACATCATCACTAGTGAGACTTATGAACATTGTGTGTCTTTTGATATGATACACTGGCACAATTACAGCATCACTTCTGAGGTTTTACTGCCAAAAAATATACCTTCAGTCTAATTCTACGGAAATATCAAACAAATCCAAATTAAAAGATGTTTTATAAAATCACTGGCAAGTACTTTTCAGAAGAGTCCAGGTCATGAGAATAATAGATAAAGGAACTGTTTCCAACTCATAGAATCTAAGGAGGTGTTACTATCAAATGTAATGTGGAAATATTGATTAATCATCTGCTAGAAAAAAAACACTAGTGGGAAGGTGGAGGAATGTTAATAAAATTTGCAGATTAGTTTTAATAGCATTCTATCAGTGTTAATTTCCTGGTTTAGATCGTTATATTATGGTTTTTGTTTGTTTGCTTATTTTGTTTTTTGAAAGAGATTCTTTTTTAATTTATTATACTTTAAGTTCTGGGGTACATGTGCAGAATGTGCACATTTGTTACATAGGTATACATGTGCCATGTTGGTTTGCTGCATCCATCACCCCATCATCTACATTAGGTATTTCTCTTAATGCTATCCCTCCCTATTCTCCCCACCCACTGCTATCCCTCCCCTAGCCCCCGACAGGCCCCAGTGTGTGATGTTTCCTTCCTTTTGTCCATATGGTCTCAATGTTCAGCAGCCAATTATGAGTGAGAACATGCAGTGTTTGGTTTCTGTTCTTGTGTCAGTTTGCTGAGAAGATGGTTTCTAGTTTCATGTTCCTGCAGAGGACATCAACTTATCTTTTTTTTATGGCTGCATAGTATTCCATAATTTATATGTGCTACATTTTCTTTATCCAGTCTATCAGTGATGGGCATTTGGGTTGGTTCCAAGTCTTTGCTATTGTGAACAGTGTATATTTCTTTTTTAAAAGATTCTTTACTTTTCCCTTTTAATAACAACTCTTTTAAAACCCACAACAGTGTATCAATCTATCAGAAGTTATCTAGTATCTGAATAAAGAGAAACCACATTAAATATGGAAACCAATAGTTTCCTAGTTTAGATGGAGAGAAAGAAGGTCAATTACAAGTTATGTTCTTCCTGTATTTTTTTCTTCATGTTCCCGAATCTTCTAATATTTGTATAGCTGATTTTCCCAGAGTCAAACAAATATAAATTTTACTTTTTTCAAGCATCAAATTTTATATGCTGAGGTCAGTTTCTAGACCTTTTATTCTGTTTCATGGATATCTTTGACCATTCTTATACTAGTGACAAAAATAAAATAAAATTTATTTGATGAATTTTCTTGATGGTTTTCCCTGATTCTTCTTTTAGAGAATGATTATAGACCCATTTTGTCAAGATAGATTTGACTATTGACAAGCCAGAATAGCTGAGCTATATATAGGGCTTATGTTTATTAAGTAGTTATTGTGTGCTAGAAACTGCTAAAAAAACTGCTAAACATTTTATGCATTGGCTTATTTTATCTTTAAAACATCATGATGATTTAGAATACTATTTTTCATTTTTTTTTACAGATAAGGAAACTGATTCATAGGGAACTTAAGTATTGCAAAGTTAAAATCCATACAGCTAGAGAGTAAGTTATACTTGGGACGCAGGACAACTAAGTCCACAATCTGCTTCCTTAAATGTTATTCTTTGAGTTGTTGAGAGGAAAGGCTTATGGCATCATCATTCCTGCTGCCTCCTCTTAGATCTGAGGTTACATGAGAATTACAGGAAGGGCTAATTTTTTTCTCTCTTTTTTGGTCATCATTATAATCATACTCCATGGTCAACATAATCTTCTTTCTCTGAGGCTATCTCTTTCTTCCATATGGCGGCTAAGAGACTTCTGGCTCCCAGGACACTGCCATATTCATGGATGACAGGGCTCAAAAGTTTTGTAAAGCAAAGAAGCTGTGCTAAATTTAATTAGTGAGTTCCATGTCACTTTAAGTGAGTAGTTATTAAAGGGGGAAAAAAAAACTTGACCTGTTTTACTCATTCAATTTTCTGATTTTTGCTTAAACAATCAAATCCTAAAGAAAAGAAAATATTTGTCCAAGACTACCTAGCTACTAAAGGACAGAG